CACGCACATACCAATGATGCTGGTATCAGTTCAAGTAATATACGCGCTGATTGAAAAGTAATTCCCTATTTTCTGTATGATGGACTTTCCGGTGTAACTATATTTTTCCAAGATGGGAGAGTCCATCATACATAAAATAGGGAGTTACTTTTCAATCACACTGTATAACAAATTAGACGTTCAGTTAGAAATCGTCTACGTGATGTTTTAGATTTATGAAGATATTTTTTTGCTGTGTCTCGCTCAGTTTCCCTTGTCCCGATTTGTTTTCTCTTTAATTTCATCGAAGTAATTCGGATCTCTGTCCTCCGAGAATAAGAGGTCGTTTTAGGAAGACACGTACCGAATCTATATCATTAAAAGCAGAGCTGTTTCTATGTCCGTCACTGCGTGTGACTTTGCTTACGCGCATGCCAGATATATTGTGTGTGTGAGTGCATGCGCCATTCAATGTACACACATACCCTCACGCACGTGCACGCGAATCACCATACCCCACGGACTGAACAATAAAATCAATTAAGTTGTCTTGTTTTAATTAATTTTTTGATATTCTTTTTAATTTTATACTTATGAATAAATATCGTTTTATTTTTGTCAACACTTGCCACGCTAACCTTGACCATAAATCTAATTAATAAGTATATTTTTCACTAGTCAAGTTTGCTTTACTTTGTTCTTTATTAAGGTAGTAGCAGAAACGACAGCATAAAACAACGTTATTTATTACTTCCCTTTGGTGCTTTTTAGTATATCACAAATTCAGTTTACGGACTAGTAACAAACTTTTAGTAAATAATTTTAGTATGCTTTTCAATGTTGGAACGTTTCAACGATGGAAAATGTCTCGATGTGAAAATGGGTGATGACGCGAAAGGGATTGGGAATCTGACATAGACTAAGTTCCCTTTTTGTTTCTATTCATAAGTAAACAGGTAAAAATCATCAGCCAAAACATGCAAACTTATCCGGTTTTTAAACTGATTATATTTTCTAATAAATGTATTATTTTAAATGAAAATAGTATTTAGATTTGGAATTTGATAGACTTGTTGATCTTCTATGTGTCGCGTTCCTTACGAAATAGTCTATCATAGTTCTCCACAACTCCCTATCTCGTGTGACTCTTAGCATTTTTTCTCCCTTTGCTAAGGCCATCATTCCCACCCTCGTTCCGCCATCCATTCAGACTAGCTCGTCAGGTAAGTGGCTCATTGCCTTCCTCTATCTCTCTTGCCTTCAGTATGCCCCGTGAAGGTTAAGTTTTCCAAGCCTTCTTTCCTCATTATGTGCCCAAGTAATTTCAACTGTCTTTTCTTAATTCTGAGTACAAGTGTTCTTTCTGTTGCCATTTTCTCTAAAACTTTGTCGATGCTCATATGTTCGATCCATGGCATTCTCAGCATCCTTCTGTACAATCACAATCTACTGACTTTTTTTTTTTTTTTTGACTTTTTCTTTTACTCACCTGTGGAGAGATTGTCCAACATTTACTGCCGTATAAGAGGATGAATATCAGATAGCAATCCAGCATTCTTTTCTTTGTTTCCAAAATGTTTTTTTTTTCCTTTCCTTGCGGTTAGCGAAATAAATTAGCAAATATAGGAATGAAGAAATATATATGAAGAAATATAGTTTATTTATGGGATAAAGTGCTTAATATCAGAGATAGAGCATATGTAAATATAAAAGTCAACACTCACAGGCGACAGACTGTTTCATGAAATAGCCTGTCGCCTCTGAGTGTTGACTTTTAACTCACTTATATATATATATATATATATATATATATATATATATATACCAATCCGATTTCTTTGTTTTCACAATGAAATTGGTATTAACTAAGTCATATGGTTAACAGTTTCAGAATATAAACAATGAATAATATCTGGTGTAATTTTCAGGTTAGTAAGGAAGGTTTGCGTTCATGCATGAAACTGGCTGTCGTCACTTGCTGTTCTCTGAATGGCCACTTTTATATTTACTTACGCTCTATTTTTATAATATATATGTTATATATATATATATATATATATATTTTTATATATATATATATATATATATATGTAACGCATATATAGAGGAGTGTTGAAAAATTCTCGGACCAGCCAAGTAGGTATTTTAAAAATAAATTCTGATGTTTCTTCGTTTTGTAAATGAATCGGACCAAGAATATACCAACGCTACCCCACCCCATTCACATAATATACACGCACGCATGTACGTATATGCAATATTTTTTCTATATAGATATCTATTAAGCATAGCTTAGTATGGAACAGGGCCCGAAATTAGATGGGTCTATTGAAGTATATATTCCTTTAGCAGAAATTGTCAACTAAAAAAATTTACTAAATGATTACTATTAATAATCCTTTGTAATACATTAACTCTTGTTTTAATATCGCTTGTTTTTAAATTGTATTTCATTTAATATATTTGTTTTCATGTCTTTCATCTTGTTCTAATCTTTTCCCCAATTTTTTCCTGACAACAGATAACTCCCGACCATTATCCACCTCCCATTACATCTTTCAAAGGCCAAGGAACGACGCTCGACCGACTAAACAACGGTCTTACCTCACGAACGTAGAGACCAATCCGTATGTGAGGGGATCCTTCCGACCAAAAGTGCAAGATCTGAATTACCCCTCCAGCAAAAATGCGATGATGTCTTCGAAGCTCAGTCTCGGAAACAACACTCGACCGATTCTCTCAAGCGTAGGCGGGTCGCTGGTCGGCGGCGCATGCGCAGAACCTCTCTATTGGAGTAGCAGGGCTTCCTCTACTTCTCTTCCTACTCACCAGCGGCCACCGATGCCTCAGACCCAGTTGATCTACCCTGGTCCTGCGGTGTCGCCTCTCGACTCGAACAGTCAACATTACCATCACCAGCACCATCAACCTCTCCTTCACTACACTTATTCTACTATCCAGCACCCGAAGCAGCCCCCGCAGCAGCAGTTACCCTCTTCACACTTGTATGCCGTTACCCAGCCCCGGCCTGCCTGGGGAAGCAGCCAGTTGCAACTCCAACGCGAAGCTGACGAAGCAGCCAATCTGAATAAACAATCCTCGTTGGCGCCTGTAGATAATAATAACCGGGCACAGGACTCGAAACCAAGTTCGATCTCTCTGTCGAATTCTAATGCCCAGGTTTTACGACAAGGCCACCAACGAGATATTGATAGGGCGGCGGATATATACAATTACAATTCTGTTCCTACTGAGGAACCGACATACGCCGAGCCGGCAATTGAATACGGCTTAAAGGACGTTATTGTTTAAATGCTAATGTTAATACTGTGTCCCCATAAAAAGCTAGTTTGAGCATTCACTTATCCGAAAATATTTTCTGATATTTCTGATATCAGCATCTTGAAAACCTACAGTCAACATAACTTCCAAATATGCCTGCGAATACAAAACACAAAAATGATGGTCTCTAAAATGTATCTGCGCCTGGTATATATATATATATATATATATATATATATATATATATATATGTTATAAATTTGAAGAAATAATTATATTCGCTCTACTTTGTATTGAGCACTCTTTTAAGAATAGTAATTTTTGGTTATTGGAATTTATTCCGTATACACCAATCATATACTTGTGTGTATATATATATATATATATATATATATATATATATATATATATATGCTTGTGAGTCTTGATGTTTGTCGTCCTCTTCAAGGTTAGAAAACAAAGCAAAGTGTGTGTATATATATATATATATATATATATATATATATATATATATATATATATATATATATATATTGCGAGGGAGGGGGGAATAGGTAATGCATCCGTTGGTATATAATCCAGGTGGATCCTAGTAATACCAGATATTAAAACTGATCCACAGAGAGCTCACTGTATTTATTATTTCAGACCAGTACATTGTATGTTAGTCCGCCTCAGCCCTAGACTGACTGTCAGTTTAGGTCTGAGGAGGACTGGGATACAGTCGTGCTGGTCTGAAATACACTATACCCACGAGGTGATATTGATTTTTTTGTATATATATATAATATATATATATATATATATATATATATATATATATATATATATATTATTTGAGATGTAAGGCATGCCCCGGTCTTTTGAACAGGAGTAGAGATTTATCCCTCGTTTCCTCTTTAGGGTTAGGCTTCTGGCTTCTTCTAATTTCTACTTCTAACTTTAATATTCTTGGCTTTCCAGTTCCTTCTAAAATCTTTTCCTCCAATTTCACTTCCGGTATCCCCCAACCCTTGCGTCTTAGTGGCGTTATTGTCTTACTTGGGGTAAAATGATTTTAAAAAATTCCTGGTGGATCTGGGAAACAATCTGCCGCAAGCCAGGTTTGTGAATAAAACCTAAAATTAAGGTGTGTTTTCAGGTTTTACGTCCATAGGAACATTTAATCTAGTCAAAATCTGCCAGATTTAAAGACATCAGAACAATAAGTTACACTTTCTAAAAACACCATCATTTTAGTCTTTATAGAAAAATCATTTGCCATTATTGATTTCAACATATTCGAAAGTTTATTCTAAGAATGAAAATAATAACTAACCAAGTTTTCGGATAAGGAATGCTCAACTTGTGCTTTAAAAAGTAAATGAAATAATTGAGAGATTTAATGCTGAAGTCTTGAACCAGAGCTTATATCTCAAGGATATCTAAGTTAAATAGGAAATAAATAGTTATTTTTGTATAAAATTGTTAAAAATTTAATAAGAAAAAAAAATCATTGCATGCTATTCTTGTTTACAAATGTGTTTTCAATTTTGCAAAATGTGTTTTTCTCAGTATTTTTTTTCTATTATTGCTCTTGCGTTCCCAACATGAAGATGGCGGACGACAATAACAACTAAAAAAAAAAAAAAACTTTTTCATGAGTAATCAGATGGCCAGTCAATATTTTTCTGTGTCTAATACATGTCTGCTTCGTTGTTAACTTTCACTTCTGCTAAGACAATAAAACAAATACATTCATTCACAGAAACGACTACACATAAATCACCTGCTTCCACAAACTTTCAAGTTTACATCATTTCCACAACAGATAGGAAAACAAACAAAAATGGCGTACGTTTTTAATTCATACATGAACAAAAACCCTTAAGACTCACATAGACGTATATATATATATATATATATATATATATATATATATATATTCTACCACACCAAAATTTGTTAGCTATGTTTCTTTAAGAGAAAAGAATAGTAGGAAAAGAGAATGAAGGATAATAAAGAAAGAACTTGCTAGAATAAGGAAACAAAAGAATGAAAACAACAAAAACAAGCAAAGAGAAAAATAGAAAGGAATTTAAAAAGAACTATATATAAATTTATAGTTGCCTGCTACGCTTTGGTCAGCAATTTCATATATAATGTGTGTGGGGATATAGAAATCAAATCAACACTGCATGGTGACTGGCAGTTTTACACCTTAAGCGATCATCAGGCCATCACTGTTTATACATTTGCATATACTTCACCCATAAATATAGCAAAATTTCAACATAGACCTTTGTTTCCTGGTGTCGAATATGTCGTTTGTTGTCATATGGAAACTTGTTAAGGAACTTACCAAAATTGTGCGCAAAGTTCCGAGTACTTTGTGGTCATTTCAATGAGAGATAGAGAGAACTAGTGGAGCGTTCATGTTGCTTACTGTCTGTAGTTTGAAATGAACGATGAGTGCATATATATATATATATATTCCGTATATTTTGGCAGAATATTTCCATTTAAGCATATCTGATTAAACTATTTAGACATGTTGTTTCGATAAGATCCTTTCGTAATTACGTATAAGCTTTGTTTCGTGATGAAAGAGTGCGAGGAAGATACCATGTTTGTATTTATTCATTTTATTTTTCAGACTACTTTCTCATCTTCAGGCTTATGATGGCTAGGACAATCAGCTGTGTGTCAGAAGTAAATTTTGGTCTTTCTGGTTAAACGGTTAACGATTTCGGTCATGCGCAAAGTCACAAAAGTTTGATTTTTGAAATTTTTCTTTATTGTAAAGGTTATAATGTAAGGGAGATAACTTAGTTAAGAATTAAATTCTTGTGGTAGATTATAGTTTGCTTGTTTTAAAAAAAAGACTGTTTAGTTTTAACGGAGATATTACTAAATAACTATATACTATAAGCATTTCAGAATATTTGTACTATATTCATAAGTAATTTTGTTAAGAGTTGGTATTCATTTTTTAATAAAGATGACTTGGAGAAATTGTAGTTTCTGCCTATTACGTTCTTGGTGAAATATACGGGTATTGTCGACTAATATACTTCTAAATTGTGAATGTGAACATAAATGTTTTTGCATATGCTCTGCAATGGAGGATGAATCATTCATAGGTAGAGTTAGCCGTCTTGATAGCGCTATTGTAGAATGACCAACATATATATTACCTTTTTTGTCAGAGTCGGGGAGAAGTTATTGCGGAGGATAAATTTGGTTTTATTAAAGTTGGTATAGTACATAATTAATTTTATTTTCTTTACTCGGATCTGTGGTGGACAGATTAGTATTTCTGAATTTTTTCATCTTGTTTATATTTAGAATGCATCTGATTACAATATAAAAAGATTGGTGTGTTTAGGGTTATTTGAGGATGTATAATGTTCTATTTGATTTATATTAAACATATATATATATATATATATATATATATATATATATATATATATATATATATATATATATATATGGCCACAGAGGATCTTTCGGTTTACTGCTTTTAAACTTCAATCATCTATGAATCTCTCATGTACATTCATATCTGCTCATGGGCGTATCAAATGTAAACAAAAGACGTCACACATTATGAAATGGACAAAGTCCGACAATTATTTTAAGAAATTTTATGTTTATACATTCTTTTTTATAGATACAAATATTTAAGTAAATGCTCTGTTGATAATAAACAGTATTAAACAACATTTACCGGCCTGAATGTCCGAGAAATCTTCATAGAAAATATTCGTCCTTCGACAGGATACGATACTGTATCCTATACGGAACCGTCATATAGCCTGACATGCCAAAGATCCTCTGTGACCGAATCGGTTAAAAGGCACGTCCGGCTATATGACGGTTCCATATATATATATATATATATATATATATTTAAGCGTTTCACCCCAAGAAAGGCGAGAAGCCACTAGGACGCAAGGGGTTACAAAAAAATTTGGCGCAAGATCAGATAGGAGTGATAGAAGAAAGGATGAGAAGGGTAGTGGATAGATCAAGGCAACTGAAGATGTCGATTGATATTGAATAGCTGGAGATTATAACTCTCAGGGAAACTGGGATAGGGATGGGAGTTCCACAGGTGAGAGGTGCGAGACATGAAGCTATTGGAGTAGAAGAGACGGCTACATTTAGAAGTTTCGTCAGTGAAAGGGTGAGAGCGGGATGCCAGCCTCGTAGGGCGGATCAACGGCTAATCCTCCGCCCTCACCAAATAGTGGGCTTGGGAGAGATGCTTTCAATAAAATTAAGAACAACAGGAGAAAGAAACGGCGAAAACAATTCCAAGTTCAGACAATTTATCAAGCAAGAATAGTCGGCCACTACATCATGAGAATACTGACGAGACACTTTCGCATCTAGCCAAAGACATTCAATTTTCCCTTTTTTTTCTGATTTTTCTTTCGAAACGGGATTTCTAACTAAACCATCAAATAGGTTAGAATGATTAGGACAAAATGTGTTACTATGGGCAAATACACTGACGAGTAGAGGGAGAAAAAAAAATAGTTTAAAGATTAAAAAAATAAAGAATTAAAAAAAAAATAAAGAAAAATGAAAATGAGTTTTCGGTAGAGCGAAATTATACTCACACAGGGCAGCATATATATATATATATATATATATATATATATATATATATATATATATATATATATATATGGTGGTACTCGTTTGGAAAACCCTCGGATAGCTCAACTTGCAGTAGAACAAATCGGTACCCGTGGAAAAATGGGGAATAAAAAAAGAAAGAAATAAGAACAGTAAAACAATCGTCCAGTGTTTAAGCCAAACAAAACAAGTAAAAAAGACAACTACGTAAATTTCTCAATATACTAAGTAGAGCAAAATCTAAGATAATCCTAAGGAGCCGGCAAACCTACCTAGGTTTCATCTAAACGGATCTTCAGAGTAACCCTGAAGATCCGTTTTGGTGAAACCTAGGATTATATATATATATATATATAATGATATCGATGCGTGTGTGTGTGTTTATATTGTGAAATTAATTA